CTGTCCTTGATGCCTCATGGAAGCCGGGCACTTTCCACAACCCTGCTGGGTCCCGACCCCACCTGAGCCTTGGCAGGGGCCGGGGGAGGGGCCACCAGAGCTCCTGGGTCTCCCAGCCGAGCCCTGCACACCCACAGACCCCAGAGCAGGTTGGTCCAGGATCTGAGCAGGCCCACGGGCAGGTCGCTCTGGTCTCGCCTCCTCGCTGGGTCTCAAGCTTCCGGGCAGTGAGGGGCACCTTACAGATGGAGGGGAGGTGGAGGAGGGGCCGAGGGGGCCTCCGTGTGACCTGCACCCCCACCTACCCACCCACAGTTCAGCCGGTGACCCCACCGTGACCCGGAGCACTTCATCTCCCAGATCTGCAGGACGAAAGCCAGGAAATGTTTGGGTGGGAGCCAGCTCCTCCTCGGCCAGGGGGCCGGGGCGTGGTCCCCCGCGGGGTCACCAAGACGGCTCACTCCTGCTTCACAGGGGTAGGCAGGGCAGGGACAGGGAGGCTCACAGGAAGCTGAGGGCAGTGGGCTTCAAGGACACCCCAAGTGGAGGCAGCCTCACTTCCCACTGGGAGCCCACTGCGGCCTCACCCTCTGGCCCAGGCCTGCCCGCCCCAGTGACCGCTGCAGGCTGGCCCGCTATTGTTTGGCATCGGGAGTTTGCAGGAAGGTTCAGGCCTCTGCCAGGGGTGGGCGGGGAGTGGTAAGCCAGCCTTGCCCACTGACTGACACTGTAGGATTGGTGCTGGGAAGCGAGACCGGCCATGCTGAACTCCCAGGCATGAGGAGACCCCCCCCACACACACACACACACAGACCCCTCACAGACACACCACTGGCACATCCCCCACTGCCACACAGGCACAGACAGCGACACACACCTTCCCCCGGGTGTCTCCTGCCTACGCCAGCTTCAGCCCCACCCCACCCCCCACAGACAGGCTGCTGGCAGCTGGCTGTGGTTTCCTAGGAAACGCCTTCACCATCCTGGCATTGGAGTCTCAGGGGCCTCCAGCATGTGCCGGACAAGCCCTCAGAGCCTGCCTGGGACTCGGGCTGCAGGTGGGCACAGCTGGATGCAGAGGTGCCTGGTGCGCTGAGGGGGCCGGCATCAGGGGACTGGGGACAGGTCAGCCGGGCCCCTTCCTGAGATGCCTGCTGTCCTGGAGTCAGAGCTGAGAGAGCAGAGGACAAGGGCAGGGCTGGAGTCCTGCTTGCCCGCCTGGTACAAGGGTGGGGACAGGGACTTTGGGGTCAAGACCTGAGCCTCTACTAAGGCCACATGAGGGACCACTTCCAAGACCCTGCGTTGGCAGCCAGTCCCCCTCTGCCCCCAAGCACCCTTGGGTGTGGATCCAGGTGTCCACATGCTGACAGAGGCCAGGCAGGGCCTGGAGGGTGAGAGAGGCCAGGCCGTGCCCTGAAGGTGCAGGGGGAAGCGATGGTTCACTGGCTGCAGGGGTGAAGGCCAGTGCTTGGTCTCGGAGCACCTGCAGGGCTGCCCCGCCTGCCACTGCACACTCCTGCCTCCAGGTGGGCCGTGGGCCCGAGGTCCGACCAGTCTACCCTAATCACTCTCCACCGAAGTGCCGGAGACCAGCACAGAGCGGTGTCTGCTGCACATTTATCCTCCGAGTCGCTGCCCCCGATGCCCGACATTGTGCTGGACCACGCCATCTGGGCAGCGTGGCTCAGGGCTGCAGAAGGGCTTCTGCGTAGAATCCGTGTGGCCCTCCGAGCCTCCCTGCCCCTCTGTGAGACGGGCTGGCCTGGAGACCGTGTGTCCCACTTGGAGGAGGGACTCCGGGAGGGACTGCGGGGGACAGGGTGCCTGCTGTGAGCTCTGGGATCCAGGGGGCCGGGAGGGCATCTGTGGGCCTGGAGGAAGGAGGTCAGAACAAGTGGGGCAGAAAATGGGATGAGTGCACCAAGCAGGGGAGGGGGAGCCAGAGGCTGGGCACGGTGCCTGTGGGGGGAGGGGTGTGAGGGGGAGGGAGAGGGGTTCCCAGAGGGGCCTGGACTGGGGCAGCCGAGCCAGGCCCAGCCCACACGTGCTCTGCACACTTGTCGGAGCACAGCAGAGTTTGCATAGCACTGTGCACGCCGCACCAGGGCGCTCGAGGAGTCGTGAGCTGTGCTGCCAGTGATAAGGAACGTGCTGGCGACACGCTGGGCACTGGGGACCCGGCCGCTGGCAGCTCTGAGGCCTCTCCCAGCTCTCAGGGTCACAGGGAGTCACTGGAATGCAAGCCCGGTGCTGTCATGAGGATGGGCATCAATCCCGCTAACGGTCTCCTGTCACTGAGAAGTGAATTCACTGAGGCAGGCCGAGCACACAGAGTATTTGAGAGCCGCTTGGCTGCCTGTGCCCGTGGAGGGTTCCACAACACCTTTGGTTTGGGAAACACACTTTCTACTCCTACTGGTATGCTCTTCTGATTCACCAGCTTTCGGCCTATTTTCTAGAACGGAGGTCCCTACCCAGGGCGTCCGGGAACCTGCACAGGAAACAATGGCCCCTTTCAGAGAGACGGACTTCTCAGGGCCATGTGGCATTTCCTCCCGTGGGCAGCGCAGGTGGCCCACCTCCTGTACCACCGGGGACTTCCCAGACTTCCCCTCACCCCCCGCCAACCACGGGAGTGGGGAGGAGCCCACCATCACCCCTTCACACATCTGCTTCGTGATACTTTGATAATTATTCCAAAACTAGAGGCCCGATGCACGAAAATTCGTGCAAAAGTAGGCCTTCCTTCCCCTGGCTGCTGGCACCACTTCCCTCTGGCACCCAGGACCCGGGCTTTGCTCCTGCCCCGGCTTCGTCCAGAAGGACGTCCGGAATGACGCCTGGAAGGACATTCGGTCTAATTAGCATATCACCCTTTTATTATGATAGATAACTGGTGTCCTCCGCAATCCCCCGTGTCTTTGCTCACTCAGAACATCAATGAGCCGGTGTCCGGGGGTGTCCAGGGCAGTGACGCTCAGCCTGCGATGCTGAGGTGGCGGAGACATGTCATCGCGCATTTGTCGAAACCCGTAGGACCTACGACGACAGGAAGGGGGAACCCGATGCGAACTATGGGCGCCAATTAGTGACCACACAGCAGCACAGGCTCACGGACAGCGGCGCATGCACCACACAGTGCGGGGTGCACAGGGCACTGTCCCCCGGGGCGGGGAGCTCTGCGGCTGCCCAGCGCCCCTGCTCTAAAATAGAAAGCCTGTTAATTTTTAAAAGTTCATTAATTATGTAAAAAATACCCCGAGACTGCCAAGGGGGCCCTGGGAGGACAGCAGGACTTGGGGACAGTGGTCCTGGCTCAGGCCTCACTGCATGGGCGACGGGAGCGGGGTGTGCTGGGCCTCTGAAGGCCACCCTACCCAGGGCCTCTCAGCTGCTCCAGTGGGGTGGGGAGGGGCAGCCCGAGTCCTGGAGGTGGGAGTGGGGCCGGGGGCAGGGGGAGGGGAGGAAGGAAGAAAGGCAGCAGGACCAGCGGCCTGAAGCCAGTGGCCTGCTCTTCAGACTGGCTGCCCTGCCAGTCAGAGGCCTGAGGGCCTCATCCTCCGATTTCTGATCTGAGGTGAGAAGGCCAATCTTGGCATCAGGCAGGGCTAAAAATAAATCGGCCGGGGCTGCCAGGATGCCTCCTCCGGCGGGCGGGGCAGGGAGGGAGGCCGGCCTTGGTGACAGCGTCACCGACCCAGGGCCCAGCAAGGCCGCACGCTGGCTTGGCTTCCCTCCCCCCAGCCTGTCCCAGGGAGGAGGTGTTCCCAGTGCCCTCGCCCCCAGGGAAGCGCACCCACTTCCCACACCATTGTGCTGGGCCCTCTCTGGAGGGGTGCCTGGGTAGGGGAAGGGACAGAGGGCCGATGTCACCAAGGCACCCGGATGTCACCCAGGAAGGAGGGGCACCAGCCCAGGTATGGGGTCTTGCTCACCTCCCAGATCCCGGGATGAATGATGACCACACAGCCAAGCAGGGTGTGAGCACCATGAAATCAAACTGACATGAAAACATGATTAATTTGCTGCCTAAGGAAACAGTCACAAAGCCTTAAAAACACACAAAGCCGCCTTCCCTTTTAATTACAACTGCTGTCTGTCCCAGCACACCCAGGGGCCAGCGTCCCCGGCTGGGTAGGGTGGGGGTGGAGAACTGGCCAGCTCCAGTGGGAGCAGCCAGGACTCGGCTCCCTCCAGCCCCTCAAACGGGCTGAGGGCTTCAGCGAGGGCAGCCCTGAGAGAGACACCCTATCCTGGGCACCTGAGCTAGGGGGTGGCTGTGGGCACGGCGGAGGACCCAGGCCCAGAGCGGGAGGGCACCCAGCAGGACTGGACAGCCGAGAGACCAGGAGCTACAAGGCCTGAGGTCATTTGGGGCTGGGCTTCACTGCTGGGCTCAGCTGGCCCTTAGAAGGGGGTGGCCCGGGGCAGGGCCCTGCATGTCTCCTGCAGGGCCTCGCCCAGCCCTGGAGCTTGAGATGATGCTGCTGAATCCAAAGCCCCTGTACGGATCTCTGTCCTTGTACCTGAGCTCAGGGACCCCGGCTGGGTGGTCAGGAGTAAAAGTGTCCAGGCCAGAGCTGCACGTGGCTGACCATCTCCGGGAACCTGAGCCGAGGTCACTCCATTTAAGACATGTTTTTCCAGGGGGCAGTGCCCAGCTTACGAAGAACGCCCTATCTCTCTCTGCCTTGTACTTCCCCAGACCCAGGTGACACCATGGGGCAGCCACTTCTCCCCTCAAGGTGGGTCCAGGCACTCAGAGGCCAGGCCACCTGCCCCTCATCGGGCCTTGGCTCTGCTGAGACCACAAGCAGGGACAAAGGGGGCTCCCCGGGGAGGGGACCCAGAGGAAACAGGAGATGAGGGTCCCACTGGGAGAAACCGCAGCAGAACCGACCCATTTGCAGAGATGTTGCCCCACTGGGGACGTTGGTGTCACCTACAGGGCCCGAGGGAGGCGGAACCCACTGCCTCCCTGAGCAGCAGCGCTGGGAACAGGTGGCCGTCTCTCGGGGGGCAGACCTCAACATGGGCGGGGTCCCTTCAACAGGGCAGCCGAGCTCGGGGGGCACAGGTATCAGTGGACACACAGCTCCCTCTATTCTCAAAAACGCTGAACAAAGAAAGAGCAAAACTCATTTTTTTTTCTTCCTTATTTCTTTTTGGTCTTTAAAGTGACAAAAGAGGGAAAGGAACACACCCTTACAAACAGCAGAGCGACGTTTTGTCCTTTCTGTGGTCAAGTCTGTTATCAAAGTGACAGCCCTCATAGCCTCACACATACGGGTACCTCCTGGCATCTCGGGCGCGGGGGCCCTGGAGCCTGTGCTGGGCGCCAGGTGGGACCCAAGCTCCGGGTGAGCGGGGAGGAGGGTGGGTGTCCGCCCCCCTAGTGCACAGAGACCCTGCGAGGGCTTGAAGGACCCACACGTGCAATTGGTGTCCTGGAGCCTGCAGGGCGGCCCTGAGCCGACAGCCCTGCCCAGGAGGGATGAGGCCGCAGGGGGCGAGGGGGACCTGGGCTCCCGCTGCTCCACAGCCAGAAAAGCGAACGTCCGCCTCAGGAGAATAAATACATTCAGCCGCCAGGCCCCGCGGCGCTCCTGTGGTTCTGTCCTTACAGCCAGACACACCTGCTCCTCCCAGGAAGCCCGGCGCCAGACTGACCACCGCAGGCCTGGCGTGGTTCTGCACGCAGCCAACCAGAAGGCACGCAGGGCCCCTCGGACGGAATGGGGGGCATGGAGGACACCCCGAAGTCGGAAGCTCCAGGAGAACGCCATGCCCTCATCGTCGGTGACCTTGTGAGAAGCAGAAAGGGCAGAGGTTACCAGGGGCCAAGTATGTGTGGTACAGGTCCCTTGGGGTCCAAGCACCAGGCCTGCGCGTCTACTGGGCATCTTCTCAGCCTCTCCCCAGCCCCCCAGCTCCCACGGGCCCTCACCATCTCAGAGTCCCGCCTCCCTGTGTGCCCTCGCCACTGGGCCACACACTGCCTGCTGCTCCTGTCCTGGGCAGGGACCCCTGAGCCCCTCCCACTACCAGGGGCCCTGAACTGTCTGGGGGAAGATGCAGGCTGCTGAGGCCTCGAGGGCCCGGACCTCAGGACTCACCCTAAAGCCCGCAGCCCTGGCCAGACACACAGGTGCTGAGGGGATGCTGCTGTTCTAGGTCCTTGGGGCTGCTCATGCCCGGGGTTTGGGGGAGCTAATGGCTGTGCACATGGCCCTGGTTCATGGCTCAGAAGGACCCCAGTGTGTGACTGTCAGGGGGCTTGTGACTGGCATGTCCTATGGAGTCACTCCCCCAAGTCCAGGCCCCTACCCTCCAGGCTCACCCTCCTGGCCTAGGGAAACTCCCCGGGTGGGGGAGGGGCACACCCTCAAATAGAAAATCCTTTTCCAGGGGACCATGGGCTTCAGCCCTGCTTTTCACTGTGTCCCCACCTCCCATCTGACCACTGGCCTCTGGAAGGCCATCCCAGAGCGGGCAGAACTGGCCACAGGGACAAACAGGCACTTCGCCCAGTTGTCTCAGGGACTCCCCCCTGCACCCCCCCCCCCCTGAAAAGCAGCCTGGCCTTCAGAAAAGGAAAGGCATTCCCCACCCCCGCTAGTCAGATGGTGGAGGAGGCATGGCAGGTCTGCAATGCCATGTGTGACTCAGGAGGTGCCTGGAGGGACAGAAAGGGGCAGGGGCCCAGGAAACAGGAAAGAGGGGGAGAGGCCAGGGGAGGGAGAGGCCAGGCGAGAGCAGCCTGGAGTCCACAGGGTCAGGCTCCAGGAACAGGAGGGGCCACAGATCCCGCTGCCCCGCCCCCAGGAGGGGAGGAGTCTCCCGCCCACCCCCGAGGCTTCCCCAACACAAGAGACAGAAGTGATCTGTGCAGGGCCCTGGCCCGGCCCCAACATGATGGCACCGACTGTCCTGAGGCCAAGTGCAGGGCAGAAGCCCATCCAGCCGGGTGGAGGGCCCTGCGTGTGAGTGAGAGCGTGACAGCGTGTGAGTGCCTGTCGGGGGCGGATGGCCACTCTATCTGGCCTGTCCCAGTGCCCCGGCTGAGGCCTCAGGCAGGTGAGGAGCCAGGAGACAATCATGAGAGCCCAGCCGGTGTTGAGCGTCATTGACCTAGGAACCAGGTGATCACAGGTGGATTCCCAGTCAGGGCACATGCCAGGGTTGTGGGCTCCATCCCCAGTGTGGGGCGTGCAGGAGGCAGCCGATCCATGATTCTCGCTCATTGATGTTTCTCTCCCTCCCTCTCCCTCTCCCTTCCTCTCAGAAATCAATGAAAAGAAAAAGAATCATGAGAGATAACAAAACAGCTTTAAGCCACTGTGCTTTGGAGAAGTTGGTTTGCACGGTGATCACAGACTGAAACAAATACCTCACGTGCTGCCAACATGAGAGACTTCAATTTCCCTTAGAGGGCTGGGGACAAACAAGGGATAAAAATATAAAAACTGCCCTGGCTGATTTGGCTCAGTGGATAGAGCATCAGTCTGTGGACCAAAGGGTCCTGGGTTCGATCCCGGGCAAGGGCATGTATCTGGGTTGCAGGCTCCCTCCCAGCCCAGGCCCTGGTCAGGGCTCGTGTGGGAGGCAACCAATTGATGTGTTTCTCTCACATCAATGTTTCTCTCTGTCTTCCCTCTCTCTTCCACTCTCCCTAAAAACCAATGGAAAAATATCCTCGGGTGGGAATTAAAGCATATATCCTATCTAATAAAGAGGGTATATGCTAATTGACCATCACATCATAGCAAAGACAGTGGCACCCACAGCCAATAAGGAGGGAATATGCTAATTGACTGCCACGCCCCAGTCCCCTCAGCCCCACTGGGGTGGCAGGTGTGCGGCAAGGCCAGGCCTACCCGCAGGCAGGCCTGGCCGCCCCATGTGTGCGCCTGCCTCTGGAGTCCCCCAATCCCCTCAGCCCTCCAGCCGCCCAGGGCAGCCCAAGGCACAGGTAACCAGGGCTGCCTGAGGCTTGCGCTGCCGGCAGTGGCAGCAGCAGAGGTGTGATGGGGCGTCGCCTTCCCCTGATCGCCGGGTCGCCTCCCACCCCCGAGGGCTCCCGGACTGTGAGAGGGGGCAGGCCAGGCTGAGGGACCCCCCTCCAGTGCATGAATTTTCATGCACCGGGTAGTATACATATAAAGCAGCCACAGACTGAGGCCAGTCAGCTCTGCAGAGAACAGAGCTGAACAGAAGTAAAATATATTCATAATTACCCACATGGATAAGCTGCAATTTCTACTATAACACTGAATCTTGATGTAGCCAAACCTTACGCTTGTGTGCACGTGTGGCCAAGGAATACGGGTTATAAGATTGCAACATGTTCAACTTCCACAGAGGAGTCTGTGAATAATGCCTAAACTGAAAACCCATGAAACAAGGGACAGCAGAATAAGTGGGTCCTTCAGGAACAAGGAGATCCATTCTTTCATTAGTTCCTTTAAAATTTGCACACATAGGACAACGATGCAAATAAGAATTGAGTGGAAAGAGATTCCGTGAGAGACCATCTTGCCCTGCTGTGTGACATGCAATAGGAATCCAAGCCTTTTCCATTCACATCTAAGAAACTCCAGGAGAAACGTGCAGAGAAACCCAAATAGCTTCCCACTGGCTCAGCAGCGGCCCCAGGCTCTCGGGCGCTGGCCCAGCACAGATGGGTCAGAACCCCAGGCCAGTCCTGTGTGCACCCCGCCCGTCCAGTGCCACGGCAGGAGTGTAAGCCATGGTCATCCGTGGATGACCGCCCAGGCCCCAGGTGGGGGGCACATGGGAAGCCTGGGGGAGGTGGGACAAGGCACTGGGACAGGGTGGACATGGGTGATGGCCCCTCCTTGCATTGCCACTGCCCATCCAGGCCCTGAGTCCACCATCTGGCTCCTGGGGCCCAGGACGACCTTGGGCATGAGGCAGAGGGGCTGAGGACATGTCCTGCCAAGGTCAGCTGCTCTCAGCTCAGCCGACATGTACCCTCTCTCAGTCCTGGAGGGCAGATGTCTGTGATCCAGGTGTCACCACAGGGAAGGCCTGTCTCCAAAAGGCCTGAGGAGGGGATCCCATGAGGCCTGAGGCCTTGCGGGTTGGGGGCCCCACCACAGCACTCACCCTGACAGCAGGCTGGCACCTGGAGTGAGATGCCCTGAGGCGCCCAGCCTCTGATAGCAACAGGTCTCCTTGCTCGCCTAGGCCCGACCACCCACTCCGGCCCCAACCACACTCCTGGCAGGGAGGGGGCTCAGTCCGGAGGCTGGAGCAAACACCGCCCCAACAGGCCCCTGAGGGCAGGGTTTCTGCCTGACCCCGCGTGGCAGCCCCTTCCTTGGCCAGGGCTCCAGAAGACACTGCACTGGGTCTGGGAAGTGTGTTCTAGAAGAGAGACCCACCTGGGGGCACCTCAGGGCAGCGGATGAGGGTGATACCACTCCCCATGGATGCAGGGAACTGATGGAGCCCCACCCATCCTCACCGCCACTGCCTCCACCCTAGGTGGACAAGGCCATGGCCATCACATCTGAGGACAGCAGGTTCCAAGTGACTGAAAGAAAGGTTGCGTGGGTCCTAACCTGTCACGCAAATTCATTCCTGCAGAACCATTTCCCTTCTGCCTTTTCACCTCTCAAACGGGAAAGCAGCTGTGACAGCACAGCCTGGTCCCCCCAACAGGTGACAAACGTCCAGGCAGGAGCCCAGGTGAGGGCGACACCCACACTGGGCAGGGGTCCGGGCAGCCCCATCTCTGTGCATCCTCATGCCGGATGGGGGACCCGCCCCAAACCTCCAGGATGGCCAGGAGCTGCATTTGTGATCTGGTGAAGAGGGGCCACTGGGCGTCTGCAGAGATCACATCAGGACTGCTGGCACAGGTGGGCCCCCCCCACACCGGAAGCTGCCACTGCCACCCACTTTTCATTGTGTTTCAGGATCAAAGGCGACCAAGCTTGGCTTATGCAAAGAAACACACAGCCTGGGAGATCATTAAACTGCCAAGTCCCCCTCCATCAACAGGGCGGCCTTTGAAAATGTCGTTAACCATCCATCAGCCGAGATCCTCAGGAGGAAAATACACATCGGCCTCGAGAGGTTACCCGCCGGGCACACCGGTGCCTTCCAGGCACCCCCTCCCCAAAGAGAACCGCCAAAGCAGCCCATGGAAGAGGCAGCCTTTACTCGGCGTCAGCCCCGCCCTCCCTCCTCCCTGCCTGATGCAGCCGGCAGGGCTCTCTGGTGGGGCTGGGCCTTCTTGAGGACACAGTCTTCTTAGAAACCTAGAGACAAACCAGGAATTACCCTGCGCTTTTCTCTTAACTGATGGGCCAGGAAACATCCCTCAGAATAGGACAGAAACTCTGCCCACTCACTTCCCTCCTCCCACCCTGGCCGGCCCAGGCATCCACCCCTTGTAATTACAGGCATTTCTGGGGGACCCTCTCTCTGGGAGAGGAGGTCCCTGTCCCTTGACCACAGCCGGCCTGGCCAGCCCCCGGAGTGCCCCTGCTGTCCCTCCCACCCCACCTGACTCGGAGACGGTGGAAAGGGCTGTGCTGGTGGCAGTTCAGAGAAAAGTTGTTTTTTCAGGGGCTCCCCAGGCCGGGAAGCAACCCAACTGCCCCGTGACACTTTCTCCCCTCTCCCTCGACCATCTGCAGGACTGTGGGGTCCCTCTGGCTCCTCCATGACCATGGCCCCAAGGTTCTTCCTTCCCCAACAGTCGCCCTTACAAGGCTCAGTCCAGTCCTGGCAGGAGGCACCTCCCCCCCCTCACGTCCATGGAGATGGCACCACATCCAGCCTCCACCTGGGCCTGGGGAACCACACACCGTCCACAGGCCCCACCACCCCCAGCCACCCCTGCTCTGGGGAGGACAGACCTCTCCAGTGTCTCCCAGCGGGGTCCTGCCTCCCATGCCCAGGGCCCAAGGCCCCGCCAGGCCGCCCCGCCCGCATGTTGTGCTGACAGCCCCTTCTCCCCGTCTGTCCCTGCTGGCCCAGCCGACCTCACAGGAGTAGTGCCCCCTCCAGGAGTGCCCCCATGGGCCGAGTCCACCACCAGTGATGAGAACTTGAAGCAGGAAGTGGAGACCAGGAATCAATGAAGATCCCGGCAAAGCGCTCTTCTGTGAGGTCAAGGCATCTCAGCAGCAAGAAGGCCCAGGTGGGCAGGGACAGACCAAAGCCCCTCCCCCAGGGACCTGGTCCCGGAAGAGCAACTGCAAACACTCCGGGAGACTACCTGGGCATTGCTGTGCCCCTGCCCCTGCTCCTGGGGCCCCCGCCGCACCCACCGGCCGCCCAGACCTCCCTGAGGCTGGAGGAGGCGGCAGGACGGTGTCAGGAGCCGCAGGTGGGACAGGGCCTGAGCCCCCGCAGCAGGCTCGGAATTACAGGCTTGGGTTTCCTTCTGGAACAAAATAATTACAACCTCCCAGAGGACCTGAATCCCCTGGAAGCAATGTGGATGTCAGCTGGAAACCGTCTTCAGAGGCAGAAATACATTTGTATTCAGAGTTGGAAGAAAGAGGAGAGCTAGTGTGGGGCACGCGGCTCAAGGAACAAACACGTCAAAAAAGTCAAAACCTGGAGACCGGATCTGGGCGCTTTTGTCCTCGTCTGACCAGCGGCACCACATTCACACAGAAGCTGTCACTGCCCATCAGGAGTGACGGCCCCACCAGTAACACCGCCCGGTTCCCGGGTGATGTTTCTGATCGGTATCGGACAATTCCCAGCAGAAACCGCCATGATGACGCCGGAGGACCCACATCTGGAGTACACAGCCAACCTGCAGGGCCCCCGATCCTTCCGGAACAACGGGTCTCTCTCTCAGCACACAACCCGTCCGCTTCACCACCACTGAGCCCTCCCTGGGCCCGGGCGGCTGTCTGTCGAAGAGGCTGGGGACTCTGAGCTGCGCCCCAGCCCCCGACGGAGCTGCGGAGTGGACAGCAGGGCGCAGTAGGTGTGTGTGCCTGAGACCTCAGGTCTCACACTGGAACCAGAATGCGACCTTCAACGGTGAAGGTGCTGCAGGAGTTAAAGACTCTGCGATGACTCAGGTGGCCTACAAATGCCGTCCCAGGGTCCTTATAGGAGGGTCTCAACCCTGCAGAGGAGGAGAGGCCAGGATTGGGGTGACGTGGCCATCAGGCCAGGAACGCCTGGAGCCCCCCAGGAGCTAGAAGAATGCCCCCCCCCGCCCCCGCAAGCCTCTGCAGGAAGCACAGTCCAGCCGACACACTGATTTGGGGCTTCTGGCCTCCAGAACCATGAGAATGACTTTCTGCTGTTTCTAGACGCCCGGCGTGTGGTCATTTGTGACTGGCCACAGGAAGGCAATGCAGAGGATGAAGCCAGCCCCCAAGACACCTTTTGCTCAGAGAAGTAGAAAATGCAGCGCTCAGAGCTGCCCACCTGAAGCAGGCCAGGGAGGCTCTACTGTGTGAGCCCCAGAAAGTCCCCTGCCCACCAGTAGCCCTGACGCTGGGCCAGGAAAGGAAGGAACTGGGCACTGGGTTCCATGGGAGGCTGGACGGCAGCCCTGTGGCCCGCCCAGCTTACACGGAACCTGTAAATTTCCCACTGGCCCGAGGGGCTGGGACACTGAATGGCATTTCACCTGCCAGTTCAGGGAGGCACCAGGGTTCCTGGCCCTTGCCTTGCCCATGGAAGCCCGCCTTCCCCAGTAAAAGGGGTTCCCAGTTTCCCCTTCAAGAGCTGGCCGGAGGGGCTGCCCCTGCAAACAGCACTGCTGATGCTTCAAAACAAACTTCCCACCAGGAGGCCACTGACCCCACGCAGAGAGGGAAACTGAGGCTTAGGGATGACAGCAAGTCAGCCACCTGGTGAGACCTCCACTCACAGCCTAATCCTCAAACAGGAGACTTTGTGCTTTGGGGCTACAAGAACCCCAGCAGGCCAGGCTCCCAGAGCTGTGCACACTGCTGGGGGGCATGGGCACGGCCCCAGAATTGAGAGCCCAGAATTGAGAGACTCAGAAGAGGCCTGTTTGTGGGCACCGGCCCTCAGCAGGCAAACCCGCCCGGCAAGATTCTTCCTTCTGCTTCCTGACTAGCAGCCAGCCCTGAACCCACCGGGTGGCATTCTCCCAGCACGGGGGCTCCCGGAGCAGGGTTCCAGGGCCGAGAGCTGCACTTGGGCTGATGCTGCGTGGACTCACCGTCCCCTGTAACTGCTCACCATGACCTGGGGCCTGAAGGTCACTCTGAGGACTGACCTACACACCACTCCCTCAGCGACAGCTTGGGCCCACCTCCACGCCGGCCTCCAGACCAGGCCAAAAGCAGGGTGGACCTTGTGTGAGCAGAGGGGTGGGCTGGGGGCCGCAAAGAGCATATAGAGACAGACAAGATCCTGGGGATGGTCCCCAGGCCAACAGGATGTGGACGCAGCCCAGGGATCTCCGCTGAGCCAAGCCACAGCAGGCAGAAGTCCTAGGAAGCTGACTGGAGGGCATCTGACTTTTACCTGGAACCTTCCTCCTCAATCAAGCCTGCCACCCTCCTCATGGGGGGCCATCACATGAGACCTTCGCCGGCTCAATGTTGCCAGGCCGAGGCCACGCCCACACCCAACAGGAAGGCCCAGAACGGGCGGGAGATGTGCCTGGGTCGGGAGAGGAGAGGTTTGTGCCCAGACTCCTGAGAGCAATTCAAGGTGGTCATCAGCCTGATGCAAGAAGCAGGTGGGGAGACAGGGTGGGGACAAGCCCCTCAACATGGCTTCTACCCTGGGATCCCCTTTGCCAGGTGCTCCACAAACTCCTTCCCCAGCCATACGTTAGCTGGTCCTGCTGAGGCCTGATGGCTCATCACCTGGGAAACCGTGGCATAGTCTAGGTGGGTGAGCAGGCAGGCCAGCCCAGACAAGGTCATCTGAAGGTCATGAAGACCGAGGAAGAAGTCCAGCTGGGGTAGAGGACTCCTCTTGTCCTCAGCAGTGCCAGTGGCCCCTGGACACACCCCATCACCCAGGCACCAGCTGGTGGAAGCCATCAGATGGGGACACGCCCAGCATCTCGGGGCCCACGGGTGGCTCGTGGCAGGTGGCCTCAGCCCCTTGGCCATGTCCCGATACCCCACGGGATGACCACAGACACGCCCTTGGTGACACCTCCAACCCCACAGGGTGACAGTCCCCAGCTCACAGAGACTCTAAGGTATGTGACCAGAGCGCCTACAATGTTCTCCTGAAGGAGAGATTGAGGGTGAGACCCTGCCCGGGGACAGGCCCCAGAGCCACTCCAGAAGCCTGGAGCACCCAGCCACCTGCAGCCGGAAGAGCGTCTACCCTGGCACCAGGTGGAGGGGTGGGGCTACATCTGAGGGTAGGCAGCTCGATGACCTTGCTCCTTCCTGCCAAGCGGAGACCCCAGAATGGCCCCTGACCTGCGTGGGAGCAGAAGGGCACAGGAAGGCGTGTTCCCGCAGAACGGTGACAGAAGAGGAACAACCCCTCCCTGCACTCCCCCTATCAGTCAAAACCGTCACCTTTAAAAAATGCACCCCTTTCTGCCAAAGGCTGACAGAGGGAGGAACCCCTTTACGGGCATTTTGAAAAATGGTCACAAAACACAAACGAGCTCCGTTCTTTGAACAAGCGGCTGCCGGCGGCTACGTCTAAAGCACGTCTCCTGTGCTCTGCAGAGCCGGGTGACGCTGCCAGCTCGCAGGACGGCTTTCCGGATGGCCCCCTTCGGAGCAGCGAGGCCGATGGGGAGGAGACCTCCCCACCCCCTGCAGGGCCCGGAGCAGAGGGACAGCAGCTCAGATGCCAGCTGGGGACGGCCAGGAAGGAGGCCGCCCTCCGCGCACACACTCACCTGGTCAGGGAGCCCCAGTCATGTTTCAAACTGGGTTAAGAGCTCCCTGATTTCCGGGGCCACGTGTCGCGCGGCATTGGCGGCCTCTGTTATAGCTTTCCGATACATCCCCTTCTTCTTACGGTTAAATCTCAGTTTGAAAAATTCAGAGAAAGGGGAGAGTTTGGAAATGGACAAGAATGATGTCGTTGGAGAACCAAACCACGAGACTTTCGCTTCTTGCCAAGAGGGCTCCCCGTCCTCCTTCTGGCTAAGATTGATGTCAAGGACACGTGCTGGCCACCAAGGGAAACCATGAACCTTACCCCACACGATGTCCCCTACGGCCACGGTCCTTCCGTCCTCGGTAACGCACTTGGAGATGCTCTGCGTGTGCAGCCTGACCGTCAGGGGCGGGACCGTCTGCCCCGCGCGCTTGGAGGTGGGCGGCACGGACACACCATCGCCAGAGGAGAGGTCACATGTGTCTGGCGACGTGACTTCTGAGCTGGACGATTTGGACTCGTCCAGGCTGTCGCTGCTCCACAGCGACTCCCGGGCATAGTCTGTCCTGCTCCCAGAGCAGCTGGCGAGAAAGGCCAGGCTGTCGCGCCCGTGTTTACCCTGGGGACACGTCTTGAAGTCATCGTCCTCCCCAGAACTTCCCGAAGACAAGTCCGCCAGGGCACCGTGGGCAGAGCCAGAGGCAGGGTGGGCAGGGGAGCTGGCCTGGGCACCTTGCCCACGGCCGTTGAGCTCCTCCACCAGCTCAGCCCTATAGACAGGCTCCTGCTCACCAGCGCCCAGGCGGTGGGGCTTCAGGCGGATCTTGGGGGGCGGCAGGTCAGCACTGGGGGGCATGGGCCGTGTCAGCTTCAGCTTCGGAATGGAGGCGGAGGGCCCGTCGGGTGGCCTGTCCCGAGCCGCCTCGGGGTCCGGGGCACCGTGCAGGGCCTGCGGGGGGCAGAAGGGCTCCAGGGAGCCGTGCACGCGGGACGGGATCTCCACCACCTCGCCCTTGCCCTGAGGTGTGCTGTAGGAGATCTTGATGGCCGGGCTCCGTGGGACCCGAGCCTGGTCCTCCTCCCGCCTCTCCCTCTTGCTTCTCCTGGTGGTGGCCGAGGCCGCGGTTTCACCCCCGCCATCTGGGTCCTCGTGTTTGCGGAGCTCCCTGTCTGGGTCGGAGCCACTGCCCAGTCTCCTGCGAGGCCGGGGGGTGGCTGGGGGCGCGGGGCCAGCCTCCGGGGGGCTCAGGGTGCTCTTGCACTTCTCGCAGAGGACCCGCCGTGGCCGCAGGCAGATGGGGCTCAGGGCCAGCCGGCCAGGGTCACGGTTGCGGGACAGGCGCCTCTTTGTCCTCTTGATGGTCCGGGGTGGTGGCTGTGGCACCCACTGCTGGTAGGTGTTCCTCAGCCAGAGTGGGGGCGGGAAGGGGGCGCCTTCAAAATATGGCGGGAAGGGGGGCAGGCTTCCAGCGGGCAGCGGCGGCACCAGGGGCGGGGGCAGCTCAGGGCAGGAAGGCGGCGGGGGCGCTGTTCCCAGCTGCATCGCCTCCGGGTCCTCCTCTGTGGCGGCTGGGCCCTGGCAGCCATTGACAGGGGTGTCCTCGGCCTGGGGCAGTGGAGTGGATGGGGGCAGGCCGAAGAGGCCGGACCTGGCAGGGGAGACAGAAAGGACAATCGGGATGATGATGGGCCCCCCACCCCCCACCCCCCACTCCTAGGCGCCACAGGATTGGGTGCTCACACCTTCACCTGGGACTCCCACCAGTGTGCTGGGGGCCCTCTTCCTCCCAGATGACGGTGTGAGCTCATGAAGTCACAGGACCAGCATCAAGGCCACTGAGCGCCCACATCTCAGTTCCTGGCAACAAGGGGGAGCGTGGGATCAAAGCTGGAGATCCCCTAGGACCCGGTGCCCGAGGATCTGGGACGTAGCCGGGCCCAGCCTGTGTGCCTCCTAGAGCACAGGGTCACCCCCAGGCCCGACTGTCACACCGTTCTCGCGGCCCGTGAGCTGTGACGGTCGGGAGTCGCATCCGATTCAGAGCCACTTGCGGTGCAGCCTGGATACACCTACATTGTTTCAAACCAGTGGTTCTCAACCTTCTGGCCCTTTAAATACAGTTCCTCACGTTGTGACCCAACCATAAAATTATTTTCGTTGCTACTGCATAACTGTCATGTTGCTGCTGTTATGAATCGTCATGTAAATATCTGATATGCAGGATGGTCTTAGGTGACCCCTGTGAAAGGGTCGTTCGACCACCAAAGGGGTCGCGACCCACAGGTTGAGAACCGCTGTTTCAAACAGTGAAAAACAAGCCCCAACAGTCCACACCTCCCCTCCCCGTGAACACACCTCACTTTGAAACAAATGTGACTTAATTTAAAGATGGCTTTAGCTCAAAGCTGTTATTGTGAAGCACAAAAATAGACTTTTAGAGCCAAGTTATAAGTAACCAGGTTTGGAACGTGGCATCTTTACCTTCCTTTCCAAATTTAATCAGGGAGAAGGAAAGATAAATGACTTTGCTGCTTTCCAATCTACAGATGCTCTCCACTGACCGACCTCCCGAATCCAGGGGTGCTCAGAGGGGCTGACCATGCATGACGTCACCATTCCCTGCATGTCGGGTGGCTCACCCGACCCTGAGACGGGGACCTGAACAGGCCAGGAGCGAGGTGCAGGCTACACCAGAAACACGGAACTCAGAGCCATGACAAGGCCGCCGAGTGCGTGACCCCAGGGCTGCCCCCTCCCCCAGGGTCCTTACTGTCACGATGCTGAGGACATGAACGGTGGAGGGCACGCCTGCCCTCTGAACACTGCCCAGTCTGTGTCTAATGCAAGACCACTGGTAAAGCCTGGGACTCAAAACACACTTTCAATTTCCTTGCTTTTCCTATCAATCCAGGGGGTCCACAGTCTGGGGGATCCACAGACCAGGGGTCCACCACACACCTCTGAATTGGAGGGTTGTTCCCAAGGCCTCCCCCAGAGCCCACTTCCTGCCCACCTTTTACAGGCATTCAGACCATGAACTGGGGTCCACTCCGACACCCTCCTCTTCATCTGCATCCTCACTATGCCACCCTCCCAGGCCCCTGTGCTGTTACCCCACTCAGACCCAGCCCACACCCGCTCCTTGGCCTCCACTTCCTACCTGCCCCCAAGCCCCTGGCCTGCCCCCCACATCACCTGCCTGTGTTGGAGCAGAGCCTTCCTCAGCAGGACCCACGCACAGACTGCGCCCCTGGCCAACCAGCCCAGGGCGCAAGGCTCCTGGGTGATCTCTCGCCACATACAGACTGCGGAGTGGGGTGTAGGGCAAGTGGCCCCATCTCTGAAGTCCTCACAGCTTCGGTCCAGGGAGGTTTTTGCCCCCCATTTTTGGTACATGCCCCTCAGGGGGGACCTTGCATGTTTAGGATGGATACAGGGCTCTTTGCCAGAGACCAGACCGGAGCCAGAGCCCTCCGTGTGGGCCCCTGAGTGGGCTGGCCTGCACCCACCAGGCAGGCCAGAGTGGCAGCCGAACCCTCCCTGCCTGGCTCATCAAATTGGGAAGCAGCTTCGGCGCATGGTGCCCAGGGCCAGGGAACAGATGTGCCCCTGCCCTCCCTGGTGAGCGTGCCCCTCAGCCCAGAGCTGTGGCCGGGGGTTGGGGGGAGCCTTCCAGACAGCAGTGCAGCCCTGTGGAAGGCCCCGCTGCCGACAGGGAAGGCCCCGTGACTCTGGCATGACAAGCAGCCATACTTCCTTCCCGGAGTTGCTGCCCTGCCCAGGCCACACCCACCACTGCCTGGTGGGTAAACAGCGGCCGGTGGGGCAGGACGGCTCAGTCCCTGGCTGCGGATCCCAGAGTGGGTGCCCCGGGCTGCTGGGATCCAGCTCCCAAACCCTTTCAAAAGCGCCATGAGGTGCACGTCATCACCGCCACCCTAGTTTATGGCCAGGGGAGTGAGGCTCAGAGAGGCCAGAGAGCCAGGCGGGCCTGTGCTCACACCCCAGTCAGCTGTCTCCAGGCCACTCTCTCCTGAAGGACCTCAGCAGCCTGGCCGCAGTAGGAAGACCTTTACTGGACCCTGGGGCACCAGGCATGGCACCACTGTGGATTAGGGCTCACCCACAGGGCCCAGCCTTTCCCACAGGGCCGTGCCCACACTGTCCTGTGCCCAGGACAGAGGCTCTGGCCAGGCCGGCAGTGCCCCACAGGGGATAGATACCAGGCCTGCTGTAACATGGGGGCCTCTGGGTCCCCCTCTGTTCAGGACATCGGGGAAAACAGGTTGCAGGGGAAGTCACAGTCTAGACACCAGAGTATCCCCTCGTCCAGGGCCACACAGGGGAGCCCACCCTTCCCCCAGGGTCACCAGGAACAGCCATAGCACCAGGTGGCCATAGCTGGCCCCAGAGTCCTGGACTAAAAGGTTTCATAACCATCAGCATCATTTCAAGAAAACTCAGCTGACTACATCCCTCTCTCAGCCCTGAGGACTCCCCCGCAGCATGAGGCTAGGCCCCAGCCCACACCCCTGGTCACCTGCTGGCATAAGCTCCGGAGACCAGCTACTCGAGCCAGGTCCTCTTGAGTGGCACCTGCCCATTGGCTGTAGGTCATGCCACCCTATCACACACTGGACACCTCACTCTCAGTCCATCGAGCTTCCCAGGGCTGGGAGGGTGTGCGCAGTGGGCTCTGGACCAGGAATCTGTCCAGTGAATGTCTCAGGAGCAGCCCCAGTGACCAAGTTTCCATTCTGGACAGTGGGTGTGCCCAGCATGGAGTGGGTGCTCTCCTGCCCAGGGACTGTTGGCTGGTTGAGTCTCCAGAAGCCTGGGTCCCAACCCCCTAGGGTAGAGTGTGGGTCACAAAGGCTTGAACCCCAACCTTTCCAGCAGAGGGCCCAAGAGTCTGGCATGGTAATGGCCCCCTGGGGAAGTTTGAGCGACACCGGCTTGGAGGTCAAGGCTGGAGGCTCTGGGCTGGCCAGGCCTGGCAAGCAGCTGGCCCTCAAACCCACTGTGGGACCATCCCTTCACCACTCTGAGCCTCTGTGTCCTTGGCCACCCCTCAGCCAGGGCCACCCCACTCGAGATCCTCAACTAGAGGTGTACTCCCAAGCCACCCACAAAATGCCCACAGCACCCCGCACCCAGCCTGGAGCGTCGGAGCAGGGCACGTCTGGGCCATCTGCATCCTGACTGTGCCTGTGGAGACACTGGGAGGACCGTTCTCGGTAGTCTGCCTGGGACAGCCCACTTCCCGGCACACAGTAGGTGCACAATGAATGTATGTAAACCCAGGAGCTGGTGGGCACTCTGAGCCCCTGGGGATCTTGGTTAAAATCACACGGCAGCTGGGCAGCACGTTTCAAACTCAGATGGACGATGGACAGGTGGAGGCGCTCCGCACGCGGCCCACCTCTGCACCTGCACCTGCACCTGCTGAGACTCACCTGGCCTGCCCGCTCCTCTCCCCTCTGCCAACCTTCAGGAAAGAGAACCAACCTTCTAGGGCCCTAAGGGAGGGACCCCACCTCCCAAATGCCAACCATTAACACTGGTTGCTGAGCCCCCCTACAGGAGGGAGACCAGGAATTTGTGGGAATGGCCCCTCCCAGGGGACGGCTCCCTTCCAGCAGACACTCGGGTTGGCTACGGCACAGGGCTCCCAGGCCCCCAGGTCTGCACGGAACCCAGGACGCTGCCAATACACGGCTGTCACCAGGGATGCATGCTCATCAGTGCTCACACCCAGCCCTCCACCGTCACATACTGACACTGAGAAGAAAGTGGCACCGGGGAAGTCAGGGGGGTGCTGTGGACGCTGAGGCTCAAGGCCAGACCCCCACTGTCTGAATCTTCCAGGCCAGGGTGTCAGCTGCCTCTGGACCCTGCCCGACAAGTAGGCTGTAAACACGAGCATGCCATCATAACAGCAATCGTAATATTACGGGCAGAGAAGTGGAATCAGGTGAACCAGGGAGATGGCAGAGGCCAGGGTGGGCAGGAGCCAGAGCTGTGGCACTGATCTAGGACCAAGCCTCGGAGGGCTGAGGGGCCAGGAGGCCAGGTTCACCTTCAGGTCCTCCACAAGGACAGGGCGGGGCAGGGGGGCAACGCAAGTCAGAAAGAGTCCCCGCAGAGCAGAGCTGTGTCCACTGAGGCCCAGCTCCTGGTTCTGTGGGCAGCTCTGGTTACAGCCCAACGTGGCTGCAGGAGGGTTGCCGCCCACATGTCCTACAGCTGCCAGATCCCAGCAGGGCCTGCTTCCTTCCCAGAGCCAGTGGGGAAGGGGGTGGGGAAGTGTGGATCTACAACCCAAGTTAGCCACAGGCCTCAGGGAGGGTGCCTGCCGCCTCTGCAGACATCCCCAGCTATGAGTCAGGGTGGCCCCCACAGCCTTCCTGATCCACTCAGGGAGCCCAGATACAGCAATGGGGTGGGGGAGCCTTTGCTGCAAGTGCCCCTCTCCAAGGAGGCAAGGCCGTGCAGCCCTGCACCGACCCAGGAGCAGGGACGGGCCAGGCCTGCAGCCCTGCCTGAGGGAGGAAGTGGTGGCCATCCTGGCAGGGGACGCCCCAGGGCACAGGCTTGGCAGCTTGCAGGTGGCCATGCTGCAGCCCCCAGGTGTCACTTGGTCCCACTGAGCTCTCCGTGGTAGCCAACTCCCAGCAAGACAATAGTCACCGGGAGGCCTTATGTTAAGTCACGTGACTCGTGCATAAATGGCTTCTGGCACATCTAATGAGAGATAATGCCAGCAGGGTGACTGAGGGAGAGTGGCGGTCACCTCCCCCCCACCGGAACAAAACCCGCTCCACCCAGGGAAAAGTCCGGCTCCTGGGCCCACACTCAGAATAAGGCCCAGCAGGAGCGCCCAGACCTCAGTGCCTGGTGCATGCCTCATCACCGACCTGCCTGCCGACAGCGCACCACCATGTGACACTGTATCCAGGAGACTCCTGCAGCAGGAGGCCCTGCAGCGCACAGGTGCGGGTGTCTGCCCCAGGCCTGCGGGGGACCCAGCTCCGGAGAAACCAGCACAACTTGTATCTTCACTCCTGCACCGCGGGGGGCTCCCCTCCCCACCCCCAGGGTGTTTGTAAATGGCACCCTGGACCTGACTGCTGGTCACCAAACTAAACCTCAGCCTCAGTCGCTCGGAGGAGCCTCGGGCGCCGTGACATCAGCCAGGGGAGCAGCAGTTGTGAGTAACTGACAGGGCAAGTCCTGCACATCTGAACCCACCTCCCCCACCCCCAACGGATGACAATTCTCAAAACAGCTGAATTCAACAGTGCGTCTAACAAAGAAAAGTGCGTTAATTATGGCAGACGCGCGGAGTTCCGGCCCGGGCGCAGGGACTCGGCTCCACGCCCCACGCCCCACGCCCAGGCCCCACCCGCCCCCGGCCCGAAAAGTAGCAAGGACTTTGAGAGCCACTTTCGCCCCGGAGTGACGGCGGCCCGAAGCCCGGGCTGGGGAAACCGAAAGCAGGCGCCAGCGCTGCCCTGGACCCGGGTCCGGCTCTGGGCGCGGGGTGGGGAGTCTCGAGGGAATTCCTGGGGTGTCCAGGGCCCGCGCCCCCCGCCGCGCTCACTTTTTCGTGCAGTCCAGCAGGATCCCGGCGAAGCTGCGCTGCCCGCAGCTCACAGTGACCAGCAGCGCGCCATTGACGACCTGCTCCACCCGCACGGGCAGCCGGCAGCCGGCGC